AAGCTGAGTTGATAGAAAGCCTCATACATCGCATGATAGGCTAAACCTTTCTTTCCCCCAGTAGCAGAGTGCTCAGAGTGCCACTGGACCAGCAGACCAGACAGCTAAGAATAGCTCAGTTTAAAAAAGAAATTAATCACTGCTGGGAGGAGAACTGTTTGTTGTTGTTGTTGTTGTTGTTGTCGTTATCATTATTGTTTTAAATTTCCCATTCTTGATACAAGAAGATCTATTAAGAAGCAATGGGATGCCATGGTGAGCACAGTGAGTTGTGTAAGACTGATGAATCACAGACCTGTACCCCTGACACAAATAATACATTATATGTTAATTAAAAAAATAAATAAATAAATAAAAGAAGCAATGGGAAACACCAAAATGATCAACTGTTTCATGAGGTTCTCCATGAGCTCTGGGATTATACCAGCATAGTGAGCATAGAATTAACCTCATGGACCATCAGAGAGCAACAAGGGTTACTCTGAGAGGCCTACTTAGTAGGGAGAGAATGATAAATTGGCTCAAGAGGACTACTTACGATGTTCTTTGTTCTGAGAACTATAAGTAGGAATACAATTTGGCCCCACATTAACTTGAATATGTTTTTTTTACAAACCATATACCACAGTGTGTTCAGAAAATAGAAAAATTCAGTTAAGTACCCAGTATATGTAAAGACCTGTTGTATATGAAGAGATCTGTAGTATATCAGCTTTTTCACTTCCATTTATCAGTATGATGTTGATGACATCACTCTCAACTGAGTTAGTAGATTTGGTCCACTCTAGTTTTTGTGATGTTGGCCACTTTGGTTCTCAGTTTCCATATCTATCAAAATCAATAGGGGAACCAAGTGATTTCTAAGATTTCTTCAAACCCTGTGACTCTTTGTGACTTTGATAAATATTAGTAGTAGTCTACAAGTATAATAATGTTCCACAGTGCTTAAAAATCACACAAACCAAGAATATGTAAATATGTGTGATTTTAATAATAGTATGATGTATAATGTTATGCAGTTCTGTGAATTCCATGAGGAAACCTAGAAATTAAACAATTTTTTAATAAATCTTAGCTATTTTCAACTTGTTTTTACTTAATTTACCTTTATAAGATTTGTGAAATATTTGAAGACATTAAGTTTAATTATTTTAAATGTGTAGTATGAAGTTTCAAATGCATAATAAACTGCTCCATTAGCATAGGTGAGATAATCCTAGATGTGATATGTCACTTTCCTCAATAATTACAGGAAAATGAAAAAATAATGGAGTTTTTATTGTCTTTAAAAGTTATCGCTCCCAAAATAAGATGATTTATTTAAAAATTATGGTACTTCAGGGCGCCTGGGTGGCTCAGTTGGTTAAGCGACTGCCTTTGGCTCAGGTCATGATCCAGGAGTCCCGGGATCGAGTCCCACATCGGACTCCCTGCTCAGCGGGGAGTCTGCTTCCCCCCCCGACCCTCCCCCCTCTCATGCTCTCTCTCTCTCTCTCAAGTAAATAAATAAAATCTTAAAAAAAAATAAAAATAAATAAATAAATAAAAATTACGGTACTTCATGTGCCAAGCACTGTTCTAGACTTTGTGAGTATAGTATGAGCAGAAAAGGTATGGTACGTTGTGTCATAGAATTTACACTCTTAAAAGGAATGATAGAGCAAAATAGTAAATATCAAAATAAATGATCAAAAGCACAACTGGGATTATACCCATTAATATAATAAAATATATAAAACTGCCTACAGGTCAGCAGTACACTAGAATTCTAACATAGAGAAGAGGCATTTTTTAGTGGTAATTCATAGTATTGGCTCCTGGTTTTGCAAACTTTGTAATTAGGAATTTGTACTTATTTATGTTACTGGCAAATGTAAAAGGAATGAGAAAGCAGCTTTTATGTATCAGAATGTGAAAAAGCTCATAAATGGATAAGGCTATAATTAGTTACATTACACTTATAAAGTTACACAAACTAAGTCTTCTTCCTGTTTACAAATGCCCTACAAGAGTCATTCCTGGATTGTTTTCTTTCTTTCTTTTTTTACAGATTTTATTTATTTATTTGTCAGAGAGAGAGAGAGCACACAAGCAGGGGAAGTGGCAGGCAAGGGAGAAGCAGGCTCCCTGCTGAGCAAAGAGCCCCATGAGGGCTCCATCCCAGGACCCTGGGACCACTACCTGAGCCAAAGGCAGATACTTCACCGACTGAGCCACCCAGGCATCCCTGGATTGTGTTTTCTGTTTGCAGTCATTACTAGTCTTTGTTTGGTAACTACTGCCATCAAACTATGATTTTTTTAAATCTGCTCATTAGATCATTGATATACAGTACCTACGGGAAATTATTTTGCTCTTTACGAGGTAGTGAGATTCAGGGAACATTATATAAATTATGAATTATGAAATCAACTTTTTTGAGGGAGGAAAACAGACTAACCAAATAGAAAACAGGTTTCAGAACGTCATAGATTTTCAAGATTTTAAGGAAAAATAACTTGATAAGTTCACCCCTGCTCTTTGAGTAAATATCCATGTATTAAAATTTGCCTTAAGTATTGTTATTAGAGGATTAAGTGTAGAGATTATGCTTTTCAGCTGTCCAGCTCCAGTCTTTGACTTTCCTATAAAAGAGCTCATCATATTTAGAACTGTCTCACTTTTTTTCCCTAAGTATCCAATCTACTCAACTCCCTACTTAAATAATAGGGAATTAGATAAGAGTATGCATGATTATAATTTTCTAATGCAAGTTCATGCTGTGTCCCTAAAATGACTTCTTAATTGCTTTTCTCTTCCTTCCTTCTCAATCAACCACTATAATCACTACTCATTGCCTATGACAAAAATATTAGGAAAGAACAGAAGGTGATAGAAAAAAGAACCACAAGAAATTCATGAGGTATATTTTGAGAACATGCTATGGAAGTACTTCGTTTCTGTCACACTGAGTAGTACATAGCTATAAAAATTAGTTGATTCCAGGTATTGCTGCTTTTATTTTGGTCATATTCTAAAAAGGAGAAGAGCATAGTTTAAGATTCCCAGTTTGTCTGGTCCTTATGTAGTCTCCTAAGAATGCAGGACTTCTCGGGTTTGACCAAGGCATGAAGGGGAAGCTGTATGCGAAGCCAGGCATTGAGGACTGCTGAGATCTCATCTGCCACATGACGGAGAGTCTGCTGCTAACAAATATATTTAATCTCTGAAATGCTGGATCATCCTCAAATCACAAATGATTCAGCCTGTGTTTATTACTGTGACATTCTGGCCACCGTGCAAAACTATAAAAGAGGTTTCAGGTGGTCTTTTGCACAGCTTCTTATCTAAGCAGCAAGCCTAGCAAAAAGGAGGCCGAAAGCCCAGCACAAATGCCTTGGTGCTGAGTCCATTCATAAGTCTGTAGCTGCAGTGAACTTGCCCTTGCTTTGTTTGAATATAAAGTGATAGCATGTTTCATTGCAAAATGATCTTGCATATGTTAGGTGGATTTTTGTTTCTATAAGTATAACCTCTGAAAGTCTTGATAGAGTGAGTCACAAAGTAAAGGTAAAGAATATTTTTTCCTTGATGAGGTAAGAGCCTACAATAAAAGTAATTGGGAGTTAAACAGAGTTACCCTCTGTTTTTCATAGAGAATTTTAAAAGGGCAATTTAAGTGTAAGATTACAAAAACTCCATTTCTATCAATGTCACCTGTTGAGTTTGTATCCCCAAAACACTCTGATGTCAGCTTTGGTCGATAAAAGAACGCAGGCAAGCAAACTGAACAGATGTGTAGGGCAGATATGTAAGTTAACTGCAGTGTTGGGTAGAATGAAGTGCGGTAACACTGGATTGCTCAAAATAGCTGTGATGAGGAACCATGTTTTTTTAAACTCTGAGTCTGTCATGGGCCAATATTTTAAAAAAATAATAAAAATGAATTATTAAAAGAAAAAAAGACAAAGACAAGGCCAATTAAAAAATTATTAACTGCATCAGCCATAAAATTACTGCTGATAATTCCTCATAGCTTTTTCTCAGTTTCTTTATATGTCTCACCACAGACTAATAACCAGTAGTTCACAAATTGCCACATTTTTGAGCAGCACTGCAATCACAGGAATACAGACAACTATTAGGAAGTCTCCGAAGCAGAAGTAATTAACTTGGGTGGATTTGGGAGTGTTTTACGGAGGAAACAGCATTCAAACTAACTCCTATAGGATGAATAAGATTTCATTAGGCAAAGAGGGCACTGCAGGAAGAATAAATATCATGAACAAAGGGAAAAGTCGGTGAAAAGGGAAAAGTCAGTAAACATTTGTTATCCACACCATTAACATTTTCAGTTTGACTCTTCTAAAATAAAGCCAAGGTACATGATCTGCAGTACCTGTTACAGGTTTAAATTGAGGAAGTGTGTCACTGAGCCTGCTGTTAAGGATCTGTTTCTCTATCCTAACCCTGATTCTTATTTATTACATGATACCATCTCTTGAAGTAGAGGAGGAAATTTCACACTGGGGTCTAGTTTGTGTAGGCTGGGTTTGGCTCCAGGTTGTGGACTGGAACTACTTTAACTCCATATATCTTTCATCCTCTTTAGATCACGGGATCCCTTAAGCAAAGGCTAGAGCAGGAGAGGGCATGCCCACCTGTAGGATCCCATTTTATGCCTCTGCTTGTGCCACAGCAGCCATGTGTCCAAACTCAAGTCAAAGAGAGAAGTCCATTCTGGTGACTGCGAGCTTATGGAGAGGGTTGTGAATGTTTAATCCTGCTACCAGACAATGAACAATTGGGATCATTACTTCAGTCTAGCACACATGCCAAAGTAGGACTGTTGAATTTTGTGGGCTGAAGTATACTTTTCTGAAGATCTCTCATGTATCAGAGTCTATTCTGAGAAGATACTCTACACAGTATCACAGACTACTGATATTTCAAAGGCTCTTTTGAAAAACTGTAAAGGAAAATTAACCTTGCAGTATCCCTTACTTGATTTTTAGAGGATCCTTTTCTCATTCTACTCATTCTTCTGTTAGCTTTAGACTCAGACCTCTTCCACTTCACTTCACCTAAGTCATGTGATCTCCAGGTGAAGAAATGTAGGACTCATTTTTTTTGGAAAATGGCAAGTTGCCAAAGGTTTCTAAGAGGAGTTACAGATTTTGACCTTTTAATTACTGCAACAAATTGAAAATAGGTTTCACAAATATTCAAATATTGCTGTGTGTTAGACTGTGCCAGTGGTAGCAGAATAGAAAATTAACCCAAGAGAAATTAAAGGTAGAGAGAGGCAAGACAGATTTTGATGGCTTAATATCCATATTGCTTTTAAGATGTCACAGGTAAAAACAATAGAGATGTTATTTGTTGGTACCTTCTCATGGACCAGATGGAAGTGAAGCCACAGAATAGGATCATCCTGTGGCCCACTGTTGCCCACTCTGGTGGAGCACAGTTAGGGACTTTAGAGGCCACAGAACAGACTTTGATGGCTCCAGACAGAGGTTTGAATCCCAGTTTGATACTCCCCTAGACATTTGGACAAGTTTCTTAGCTTTCTTAGCTTCAGGGAGCTTATCTATAAAACATGGATAATACTTCCTTATTGAGTTATTGTGTCATTAAATAAAGCAATGCATGTAAACGCTTAGCATAGTTAGCAAGTGCTTAATCAGTGTTAATTATTAATGCTGTGAATGTTCCCTGATCAGTTTTGTTTAGTTAACTAGACTTTGACATCAATAAGTAAATGTTTGGAGAAGCTGAATTGCAGCAGTTATCAGCTTTAGAATCCTGGGTTCATTTCTTCACCCTGGCACTTACAAGCTGGGTGAATCTGGCAAAGTTACTTAACACTATAAACCTTGGGATCTTGATCAGAAAATGGGTTATAACTGTCTCACAGGGCTGTAAGGATAATTGAGATAAACATTTTGAAGCACAAAGTATGGTGCCTGCACGTAGACAATAAGTAGATGTATCATGATCGTTATCAAGAAATCCAACCTAGAAGGAAGAAAATTCTGCATAGAACTTCAAACCCTTTAACAGGCACCTGAATATATCATCAAGAATTTTGTGACAACATGCTTTCAGGATATTATTGCTACTGGTGCTTTGTTGAACACAAGAAATACTTGAAGTTCAATAATTGGGATGTATTAAATTACTGCATTTAATTGGTTTCTTTTTTTAATTTTCCAATTGTTTTGATCTTAATTTTTTATGATAAAAGTAAAAATTTTTAAGTAATCGTTTCCAGTACTTGTTTGAGTAGGTACCATGTGCTAGTCACTATGGGAAGGATTCAAAGCTATATTAACTAGGTTTTCTAGAGGGGGCACTTGATTTAACATTACTAGGTATTCTGGCCCAATAGAATGGGTATGTTTTCCTAAACAGAATCCTCAAAGATTTTGTGGTAAATTGCAAAAATGGCCACAATTCTTTGCAATACCTCCCTTTAAGAAATGGAATCTTTTTCCCTGCCCTTTGACTCTGGGCTGCCAATAGAGTGTGGTAGAAGTGATGTGTGTGTGGACCTCAAGAGGCCTTGTTCACTTCTAACTACTTTCTCAGAACCTTGTTGCTACCATGGAACTAGCCTAGCCCCACCAGCTGGAGGATGAGAGACCACATGGAACAGATGAAATATCTCAGCTGAGGCTCCCCTAGACCAGCTGTCCCGAGTTGACTTGAAAAGTGACTGCAGATGTAGTGAGCCTAGTTCAGACTAGAAAAACCATCCAGCTGAACCCAGCCCAAGGTACCAAACTGAAAAGCCATGAGCAGAGTATCATGATCATAAACTACTTTTAAGCCAGTCTATTTAAGAGTAGTTTGTTAGGCAGTCAATCATAATTTACACCCCCTCTATTGCTAGAATGTAAGTCTTCTCAGCCTCCCACACTGAAAGCTGGGGGGAGGAGAGGGTCTTAGAGAAAGTTTTTCTCACTTGAATTACCTTCATAGCCCTCTGTCCATGTGAAAAAATAAAGAATCAGGACACTGTAGCTTCCCTGACATCACTGGTCACTTGAGAATGGGCCCTGTTTCTAATCTAGTCAAATCTAATTTTGATTTATTTACTTGTTGTTCTATCAAGATTAAGGAAACAAGTTTATCTGTACCTGACATTTGATCCTAGTTGTAAAAAGGTGGTGATATATGCATGTGTTTTTCCCCTGAACCCTAGACAAATTTAAAATGATGTCTGTACCTTTTGTAGTGCAGAAATCTTTGGACTGTAGTCTAAATATAGAACAAAAAACATAAATACAAACCACTTCTGTAATAGATGAGACATCAAAAACTGGATCAAAAATTAGTTAAGGCTCTTATGTTTACACAGCACACCATGTAAACATAATTATTTTTTTTTCCAGATTAAGGGATGGTGTGAGAAGACTAGACAGTAAGTAAATAAGCATACAGCATCTGGAATTAGGGTTTCTTGCATCTCTTCCTGCCTTTCCCAATTTCTAAGACCCCTGTCTGTGCTATTAGACTTTTTGTTCTAAATGCCCCTGAACGCCAATCCTGGGCAAAAGTAGAAAATGAGAAGACTATCTTTTTGTACTTTTTATCCTCCCCACCCCTCTCCTTTTCTATGCCTTCTCTTCATTGGGCGTGACTCTCCAGGTTCCCTTGGATCCTCTCGCTCCCCTGGGCAGCCTCTTTGGTGGTTCTCTCAGCCAGTGCGGCAAGCTTTTCCCTTCATTCTCTGCTCTGTGAAAACACACCTGTGTGGCTCTCTTCCTGCATGTGTTCTGATTAGATAAGCAGTTAATGGCAATAAATAACACAAGTATATAATCACCCTCCCCACGCCCTCACTCATTTCTTATAACTTACAAGTTAGTCCTAGAGAAATAATTTTATAGCCCTTAGCCCTGGCAAAAATGATGGCAACACTCAAGTTTTAGGATATTCACAGTCTTAATAAGAGCCTCTCAAGATACAGCCATGTGTGGGAAACACTCTTGTTGAGGTAGTGACACAAGACCAAATTAGGATTGCTTGTTATGATCTAAATTCTTTAAAGGGACTACTGCAGATGCCTTTTGGAATCAGTTTTTTAAGATCCCTTTTATAGCTAATAATTGGGAGGCTTTGAGGGCTGTGTATAAAAACACATGCCACTGCTGAGTCCTTCCATGGAGCCAGAGCTCAGCCAATCCTAATTAAGAAATCATTTCAGCAGCAATCATAACTTGTTAATTGTGACATTTTTATAGCCTGGATTGTCTTTCTCAAAGTAGCAGATTGAGGATAATGCCTTTTTTTGAGAGTCTGCAGAGGAGGTATTCTATTGGTGAACATTTCAAGCAACTTCCTTTAAGCAACAGTATAAAAATAATTTGATAGTAGTCAGTTTGAAAAATGTTTATAAGGAACTAGGATAAACTGAACACACAATATATTTTTAATCATTTGCTTACCTAAAATAAGTATAGATTTTTAAAAAAATCTAAGTTATTTTTTCCCTAATAATACTTTGAGGAGGATACATTAGGCTTTGAATAGGTAAGCAGTACAGGAAAAGTAGTTAGAACTGCTGACTATAAATACTGCCTAATTGGAATCAAGTAATTTGCATTCGGACATCACAAAGAAGTGCTATAATTTTTTTTATTTTACTTAATTCCATAAATCAGATAGATTTATGTAATAAAGTTTATACAAATCTTTTTTCCATTTTTAATGTGCTTATTAAGAAGGACTATGGCATATAAAAATAATGAAATTTTTCTCTTAAATAGATTTCTGAAAATTTCTTGCTAATCAAACTTGACATTCTGCATTCTAATTTATGATTGTGTTCCAAAACACAAGCAGTATGTATGTGTATGTGTATATTACCAAAAGTATGTCTATATGCTGAGATCAATGGAAAATAAGACTTAGAGACTAAAAATCATATTCTACCCTGTCTTCTGGAAGACTGTTCCCTGCACCTGACTGAGTGAACAGCTAACAAATCAAGAGGAATAAGAATATTTATAAGGAAGGAGCAAAGTTCTGTTCACTATGCCCATTTGGGTGAAGAGACATTTAAACATTTGAAATGGAAAAAAAATAAAGACGAGTGGTAGATAAGCACACCCTATATCCCCACCCTTTGTAATATGTCTCTCATCACAAATCACTTAGTCTTTGGATTTAAAATCAAAACAGAAAAGAGGTTGTGGAAGACAGCTTATTTTTTTTTTTTAAGATTTGTTTATTTGAGAGAGAGCAGGGGGAGGGGCAGAAGGAGCAGGGGGAGTGGCAGTGGGGAGAGAGAGAACCTCAAGCAGACTCCACATTGAGCACAGAGCCCAACGTGGGGTTCAATCTCATGACCCTGAAATCATGACCTGAGCCAAAACCAAGAGTCAGGTGCTTAACTGACACAACTGAGCCACCCAGGTGCTCCAAGGCATCTTCTAAGATGCCCCCATTGATTCACAACTCCTAGAATTCACACCCTTGTGTATTTCCCTCCCCTTGAGTATCAGTTGGACTTGGTCAATTGCTGCCAAAGAGTTTAACATGGCAGAAATGATGGTATGTCCCTTCTAAGATTAAAGGCCACAGCTTCTGGGCGCCTGGGTGGCTCAGTTGGTTAAGCGACTGCCTTCAGCTCAGGTCATGATCCTGGAGTCCTGGGATCAAGTCCCACATCGGGCTCCCTGCTCAGCAGGGAGTCTGCTTCTCCCTCTGACCCTCTTCCCTCTTGTGCTCTCTATCTCTCATTCTCTCTTTCTCTCAAATAAATAAATAAAATCTTTAAAAAAAATAAATAAAGGCCACAGCTTCTGTCTTGGGTGCTCTCATTCTCTCTGGGATCACTTGCCCTGAGAAAAATCAGCTGCCATATCATGAGGCGCCCTTATGGGAGTGCTTAAAAGTGGGTCTTGGCCCCAGTTGGGCCTTGTGATATGACTGCATCCCTAGCTGTCTCCTGATTGCAATGTGGCAAGAGGCCCTGAGCCAGTTTACCTCGTTAAGCCACTCCCAGCTGGCCTGACCCACAGAAACTGTGAGATCATAAATGTTTATTTCAGCCCCTAAGTTTTGGGGGTAATTTGTAACCAATACAGACATTTTCCATTATAAATATAGAAATTTCGTGATTTGAAAAAAATGAAAAGTATTATTTCAATTTTTGCCTCATTATATTATCCCTGGCCACTATATGGTATCTTCTATATAATGTATAGATATATAACATAGCACATAATTTTCAGTACTAATGTTAAGTCTACATATTTTGAATAAGAATCTTCCAACTTTGAGATTTAATTTGTTCATCTGTATTTCATTGTTTTGTTTATTTTATTTTTTCCAGGAGGTGATATAAATATATTTTGGATTCATTGTTTCTCTTAAAACATTTTTTTCTCTTGATATAACATTGAAAGAGACCTATTTTGCCTCAGGACCTTGGAGATTTTCCTTGACTCACACCCCATTTTTCTCTGGGCCCTCTTGCATGTGTGAATAATCACCTCAGGGCCTTCGGTGTTAGTGCAGCTGGTGTACAGACATTCAGGTTCCTTATAATCAGTCTCACATTTGTCCAGGAAGGAGGAGCTCTTGGCTAGTGTGGAATTGGCAGTCGTTCAGTTCAAAACCTATTGTTCCAGAGAAGTTACAGATGAGGAATATTACTTATTTAAATTTTTATCTTCAAACTCTCATTTTGGACAAGAAAAATGATGACTTTGGAGTAAAGAGCTTAGGATTTGGAGTTATAATTGCTAAGATTCAAATCTCAGTTCTGCCACTTGCTAGCTGGGCAGTCTTGGACAAATTACTCAATCTGTCCAAGTCATAGTTCCCTTACTTGTGAGATAGGGAAGATAACACTTTGCTGTAGGTTGTCTGGAGAAATAATGGGATGGTGTACGTATTGTGCCTGGCAGTGATAGCATCTTAACAAATGGTGGTTGAGGTACTCTTACCTCCATCTCCACCATCACAATCACCAGTGCTCATTAAGAAAAAGCATAATTAGAAATGTTTTAGGGTATCCTATCAGAACTAAAATTCATTCTTGTTTCCTAGAAAAAAGCAGCAGGATCTACTTCTGATTTTTGTCAAAAATTTACCAAATTTATTGACATCGTATAGATGTCTTAGGAAATATAGCTGTCACCTGATTACTTCTCAGACTGAAGTAGACAAATTGCCTTGGTGACAGTCCGTGTGTCGCTTACCTGATACTGGTACTGCCTTAAGAAATGTAGGGACAGATTGAATGGGAGTTATCTACTTAATTTGTTAAAGCTCCAGGAAGAGTGACCCAGTACCTCCAGAATAGAATTTATTATAAACTATTTAGGTTGAAAGATCACTTGTTTCCTTTTCTTTCCTAACACAGTAATCTATGTGATGGTTTACTACTGTGTGTGAACAAAAAGAATGTTCGTCCTTTTGGCTCACAGTGAATTTTATGATACAGATTCATGTAGGGCTCTGGCTTTGTACTTAGGCACTAAAAAACTGAAGGAATGTGGAAATGAATCCTAGAATCTACAATGAAGAGTTTTATTCCCATTTGCTTCTGTATAAGTGGTATCTTATAACCAAAGACCCTTAACTGATTATTCTCTTCTTGAGCTATAATCCTTGGTCTCAAGTTAAATATTCTATTTCTTTCTATTTTTAAAAAACTAAGTAGTTAACCCAGGATCTTTCCATGTTCATGGCCTACATTTAGGCACTAATGGTTAAGAATGGGCATTCTGGGGGGGCGGAGCAAGATGGCGGAGGAGTAGGAGACCTGGATTTCATCTGGCCTCAGGAATTCAGCTGAATAGGGATCAAACCATTCTGAACACCTACGAACTCAACAGGAGATCGAAGAAGAGAGTAGCAACAACTCTCTGAACGCAGAAGCGACCACTTGCTAGAAGGTAGGACGTGCAGAGAAGTGAATCCGTGGCGATATTCGGGAGGATGGACGGCGGGGGAGGGGGCCTCCGCCGGCCGCTTCTGGCAAGTGATAGAGTCGCGGAGCACAAAATCGGAACTTTTAGAAGTCGGTTCCGCTGAGGGACGTCACACCAGTGGCTAAGCCGGGGGGGGGGGGGGAGTGGAACCCTCGCGGGACAGTGTGGACTCAGGACCCTCGGGGTCACAGAAAGACCGGGGGTGCCTGAGTGCGGCAGAGCTCCCAGGTATCGGAGAGCAGAAGCTGGCTGCAGAGATGGAGCCGAGGCGCGGGCTCGTAGCTTGGGGTGGCCATAAACTGTGATCCGCGGCCCAGTTGGGCCACTGCGCCTCCAGCAGGGACCCAACAAGCAGCAGAGCCGGGGAGACTCCCCTCCCTCCACCAGGAGGAGCGGCGTGGGAGTGCACGCAGGGATCTGCTGGGTTTGGAGACTCCACACGGGGTTGGGTGCCAGAGATAGAAACGCTTGGTCACAGGCCAGGTGAGCACGGAGTGTGGCCGGAGACCAGGGAGACGGGAGTGACTGACTGCTTTTCTCTGGGGGCACACTGAGGAGCGGGGCCCCGAGTTCTCAGCTCCTCCGGGCAGAGAGTGGGAGGCCACCATTTTCACCCTGGTCCTCCAAAGCTGTACGAGAGCTTGCAGGGAACAAAAGCTCCTGAGAGCAAACCCAAGCAGCTTGCTTAGCCCGGTCGACAAGGGCGGGGCAATTCTGCCTCCGGCAAAGACATTTGGGAACCATGGCAACAGGCCCCTCCCCCAGAAGATCAGCACGAACAGCCAGCAAGCCAAGACCAAGTTTACCGATCAAGGAGAACGGGAGAACTCCAGCGCTAGGAGAATATTGCACATAGAATTCATGGCTTTTTACCATGATTCATTAGTTTTTCAAAGTTAATTTTTTTAACTGTTTTTTTTTTAATTTTTCTTTTTCCCTTTTTCAACCAACATCTTATCAATCCCTTTTTTAAAAAAACATTTTTTATTTTTCATTTTTAGAGTCATATTTTATTCCTTCATAGTAGTTACCCTTATTTTTGGCATATATATATATATATAAGTTCTTCTCTCTTTAAAATTTTGATATACAGTTTCTTCTAACAGATCAAAATACACCCTAAATCACTAGTGTATGGCTTTGTTCTAGTCTGCCTGATCACAGTCTCTCCCATTTCTTTTTTTAAATCTTTCTTCTTTCAAACAACTTCTTATCAATTCCGTTTATAAAACCTTTTTTTTTTTAAAGATTTTATTTATTTATTTGAGAGAGAGAGAGAATGAGAGATAGAGAGCACGAGAGGGAAGAGGGTCAGAGGGAGAAGCAGACCCCCCGCCGAGCAGGGAGTCCGATGTGGGACTCGATCCCGGGACTCCAGGATCATGACCTGAGCCGAAGGCAGTCGCTTAACCAACTGAGCCACCCAGGCGCCCCCCGTTTATAAAACCTTTTATAAGTTTCATCTTTACATCTTCCATCCCTTCATTGTATCAATCCTTATTTTGTACATATATAAGTCTTTCTTCCTTTAAAATTTTAGGAGGCACTTTCTTCTAACAGACCAAAATACACCCAAAATCTAGTGTGTGGCACTGATCTATGCACTAGCCTGATCATATTTGATCATATTCTGTTTTTTTTTGTTTTGTTCTGTTTTTGTTTGTTTTTATCTTTTTCTTTTTTCTTTCTTTCCCTTTCTTTTCCCCTGGTTTCAGGTCTTTTCTGATTTGTATAGAGTATATTTGCTGGGGACGTTGTTAACCTGTTAGCATTTTGTTCTCTCGTTTATCTGTTCTCCTCTGGACAAAATGACAAGATGAAAAAAATCACCTCAGCAAAAAGAACAAGAGGTAGTACCGTCTGCCAGGGACCTACTCAATAGGGACATTAGTACGATGTCAGACCTAGAGTTCAGAATCATGACTTTAAAGATACTATCTGGGCTTGAAAAAAGCGTGGAAGTTATTAGAGAAACCCTTTCTGGAGAAATAAAAGAATTAAAATCTAACCAAGTCGAAATCAAAAAGGCTATTAATGAGGTGCAATCAAAAATGGGGGCACTAACAGCTAGGATAAATGAGGCAGAAGAGAGAATCAGCAATATAGAAGACCAAATGATGGAAAATAAAGAGGCTGAGAAAAAGAGAGAGAAACAACTACAGGATCACGAGGGCAGAATTTGAGAGATAAGTGATATGATAAGAGGAAACATTAGAATAATTGGGATTCCAGAAGAAGAAAAAAGAGAGAGAGGGGCAGAAGGTATGTTGGAGCAAATTATAGCAGAGAACTTCCCTAATGTGGGGAAGGAAACAGGCATTAAAATCCAGGAGGCACAGAGAACCCCTCTCAAAATCAATAAAAATAGGTCAACACCCCGACATCTAATAGTAAAACTTACGAGTCTCAGAGACAAAGAGAAAATCCTGAAAGCAGCTCGGGAGAAGAGATATATAACCTACAATGGTAGAAACATTAGATTGGCAACAGACCTATCCACAGAGACCTGGCAGGCCAGAAAGGACTGGCATGATATCTTCAGAGCACTAAACGAGAAAAATATGCAGCCAAGAATACTATATCCAGCAAGGCTGTCATTGAAAATAGAAGGAGAGATGAAAAGCTTCCAGGACAAACAAAAACTAAAGGAATTTGCAAACACAAAACCAGCCCTACAAAAAATATTGAAAGGGGTCCTCTAAGCAAAGAGAGAGCCTAAAAGCAGCATAGATCAGAAAGGAACACAGGCAATATACAGTCACAGTTACCTTACAGGCAATACAATGGCACTAAATTCCTATCTTTCAATAGTTACCCTGAATGTAAATGGGCTAAATGCCTCAATCAAAAGACACAGACTATCGGATTGGATTAAAAAACAAGACCCATCAATATGCTGTTTGCAAGAGACTCATTTTAGACCCAAAGACACCCCCACATTGAAAGTGAGGGGGTGGAAAACCATTTACCATGCTAATGGACACCAAAAGAAAGCTGGGGTGGCAATTCTTATATCAGACAAATTAGATTTTAAAACAAAGACTGTAATAAGAGATGAGGAAGGACACTATATCTTACTTAAAGGGTCTATCCAACAAGAAGATCTAACAATTGTAAATATCTATGCCCCTAACATGCCACTTTTATAAGGCAATTAATAACAAAAGCAAAGAAACACATTGACAACAATACAATAATAGTGGGGGACTTTAACACCCCCCTGACTGAAATGGACAGATCATCTAAGCAAAAAATCAACAAGGAAATAAAGACTTTAAATGACACACTGGACCAAATGGACTTCACAGACATATTCAGAACGTTCCATCCCAAAGCAACGGAATACACATTCTTCTCTAGTGCCCATGGAACATTCTCTAGAATTGAGCACATCCTAGGTCACAAATCAGGTCTCAACCGATACCAAAAGATTGGGATTATTCCCTGCATATTTTCAGACCACACTGCTTTGAAACTAGAACTCAATCACAAGAGGAAAGTCGGAAAGAACTCAAATACATGGAGGCTAAAAAGCATCCTACTAAAGAATGAATGGGTCAACCAGGAAATTAAAGAAGAATTTAAAAAATTCATGGAAACCAATGAAAATGAAAACACAACTGTTCAAAATCTTTGGGATACAGCAAAGGCAGTCCTGAGAGGAAAGTATATAGCAATACAAGCCTTTCTCAAGAAACAAGAAAGGTCTCAAATACACAACCTAACCCTACACCTAAAGGAGCTAGAGAAAGAACAGCAAATAAAGCCTAAACCCAGCAGGAGAAGAGAAATAATAAAGATCAGAGCAGAAATCAATGAAATAGAAACCAAAAGAACAGTAGAACAGATCAACAAAACTAGGAGCTGGTTCTTTGAAAGAATTAACAAGATTGATAAACCGCTGGCCAGACTTATCAAAAAGAAAAGAGAAATGACCCAAATCAACAAAATCATGAATGAAAGAGGAGAGATCACAACCAACACCAAAGAAGTACAAACAATTATAAGAACATATTATGAGCAACTCTATGCCAGCAAATTAGATAACCTGGAAGAAATGGGTGCATTCCTAGAGATGTATCAACTACCAAAACTGAACCAGGAAGAAATAGAAAACCTGAACAGACCTATAACCACTAAGGAAATTGAAGCAGTCATCAAAAATCTCCCAACAAACAAAAGCCCAGGCCCAGATGGCTTCCCAGGGGAATTCTATCAAATATTTAAAGAAGAATTAATACCTATTCTCCTGAAACTGTTCCAAAAAATAGAAATGGAAGGAAAACTTCCAAACTCATTTTATGAGGCCAGCATTACCTTGATCCCCAAACCAGACAAAGACCCCATCAAAAAGGAGAATTACAGACCAATATCCTTGATGAACATGGATGCAAAAATTCTCACCAAAATACTAGCCAATAGGATCCAACAGTACATTAAAAGGATTATTCACCATGATCAAGTGGGATTTATCCCTGGGCTGCAAGGTTGGTTCAACATCCGCAAATCAATCCACGTGATACAATACATTAACAAAAGAAAGAACAAGAGTCATATGATCCTCTCAATAGATGCAGAAAAAGCATTTGACAAAGTACAGCATCCTTTCTTGATCAAAACTCTTCAGAGTATAGGGATAGAGGGTACATACCTCAATATCATAAAAGCCATCTATGAAAAACCTACAGCGAATATCATTCTCAATGGGGAAAAGCTCTCAGCTTTTCCCCTAAGGTCAGGAACGCAGCAGGGATGTCCACTCTCACCACTGCTATTCAACATAGTATTAGAAGTCCTAGCCACAGCAATCAGACAACAAAAAGAAATCAAAGGCATCCAAATCGGCAAAGAGGAAGTCAAACTCTCACTCTTTGCAGATGATATGATACTTTATTTGGAAAACCCAAAAGACTCCACCCCAAAACTGCTAGAACTCATACAGGAATTCAGTAAAGTAGCAGGATATAAAATCAGTGCACAGAAATCAGTGGCATTCCTATACAGCAACAACAAGACAGAAGAGAGACAAATCAAGGAGTCGATCCCATTTATGATTGCACCCAAAACCATAAGATACCTGGGAATAAATTTAACCAAAGAGGCAAAGGATCTGTACTCAGAAAACTATAAAATACTCATGAAAGAAATTGAAGAAGACACAAAGAAATGGAAAAACGTTCCGTGCTCATGGATTGGGAGAACCAACATTGTGAAGATGTCAATGCTACCTAGAGCAATCTACACATTCAATGCAATCCCCATCAAAATACCATCCACTTTTTTCAAAGAAATGGAACAAATAATCCTAAAATTTGTATGGAACCAGAAGAGACCCCGAATAGCCGGAGGAATATTGAAAAAGAAAAGCAAAGCTGGCGGCATCACAATTCCAGACTTCCAGCTCTATTACAAAGCTGTCATCATCAAGACAGTATGGTACTGGCACAAAAACAGACACATAGATCAATGGAACAGAATCGAGAGCCCAAAAATGGACCCTCAACTCTATGGTCAACTCATCTTTGACAAAGCAGGAAAGAATGTCCAATGGAATAAAGACAGTCTCTTCAACAAATGGTGTTGGGAAAATTGGACAGCCACATGCAGAAGAATGAAACTGGACCATTTCCTTACACCACACACAAAAATAGACTCCAAATGGTTGAAAGACCTAAACATGAGACAGGAGTCCATCAAAATCCTAAAGGAGAACACAGGTAGCAACCTCTTCGAGCTCAGCCACAGCAACTTCTTCCTAGAAACATCGCCAAAGGCAAGGGAAGCAAGGGCAAAAATGAACTATTGGGATTTCATCAAGATAAAAAGCTTTTGCACAGCAAAAGAAACAGTCCACAAAACCAAAAGACAACCGACAGAATGGGAGAAAATATTTGCAAATGACATATCAGATAAAGGGCTAGTATCCAAAATCTATAAAGAACTTATCAAACGCAACACCCAGAGAACAAATAATCCAATCAAGAAATGGGCAGAAGACATGAACAGACATTTTTCCAAAGAAGACATCCAAATGGCCAACAGACACATGAAAAAGTGCTCAACATTGCTCGGCATCAGGGAAATCCAAATCAAAACCTCAGTGAGATACCACCTCACACCAGTCAGAATGGCTAGAATTAACAAGTCAGGAAACGACAGATGTTGGCAGGGATGTGGAGAAAGGGGAACCCTCCTACACTGTTGATGGGAATGCAAGCTGGTGCAACCACTCTGGAAAACAGTATGGAGGTTCCTCAAACAGTTGAAAATAGAGCTACCATACGATCCAGCAATTGCACTACTGGGTATTTACCCCAAAGATACAAATGTAGGGATCCGAAGGGGTACGTGCACCCCAATGTTTATAGCAGCAATGTCCACAATAGCCAAACTGTGGAAAGAGCCAAGATGTCCATCGACAGATGAATGGATGAAGAAGGTGTGGTATACATACACAATGGAATATTATGCAGCCATAAAAAGGAATGAGATCTTGCCATTTGCAACGACACGGATGGAACTGGAGGGTGTTAATGTTGAGTGAAATAAGTCA